ACCATAGATTAATAGTTGTAGTGTTTAGTTTTAGTAGATTTTAGCTTTCAACGTTCAAGTTACACTTTTTCAACGTACGTACATGGTTGAAATTTTTGGGTCCGGTCATAGTTACACGAGATTGTTTAATCGAATCTAACCATATTTATTAGATATTTATAACGTGATGTCATAATATATATGTGGTCAAAAAAAAAACCCCCCAATATCCGGCCGTTTACAGACATTATGAATTACAACCTAGGTCGCAACCCTAATTACAACTTGTACATACCAAAAGTTGTAATATGTCGTAATTGTCATAATCGTCGTAATTGCTGTAATAGATTGTAATTGCCGTAACAAATAAGTGTTCGATATAATTATGATAATAACAATCGAATTATTAAGTGTAGTAATTCTATAAGCATCACCCACACCTGCAAATTTTTGAAAATAAAGTAATGCCTTATGTTTATACTTTTAATTTCGACTTCTCAATGCCTTATCGTTATAAATATTTTGATGATTGTAGCTATTATCCTGTTTGACTCGATTTAACCACACTCATTACGTCTATTACAGCCATTACACTTATTACAACCTACAACCATTATACCAATTACGACCATTACACCCATTACAGCAAAAAATTACAACTTTAGAATAAAAGGTTGTAACCTTCCAACTTCACTGAACCTATTACGGCAGGCAACCTTATACTCAAGTAAAAAATGTTTAGCACTTACACTTTTAATCCTAACCTGCTAACATGTTGGCTTTATATTTTTTTCTTATACCCGGATATACTGAATACCTGGGCTGCCGTCAATAGAAATCAAGCAGATTGACATTTTTAGCCCCTTAACTTTCATAACTTATTTCTTGAGGCTATCTTGACGACAAAAGAAAGCTTGAGATTAGACTTTCTTTTGAATATTAATTCATCAAGATGAACTCAAAATTCATCGAGTATAGGTTATGAAAGTTATTAATTTTTTTATAAAATGTTAATCTGTTTGATTTCTACTGACGGCAAAATTAGTTACTGTACACGGTATGTTTATATTTATTATATATCTATACATATCTAATTAAATTTTTGCATCCGTAATACGTCACATCCAATCAAGTTTTATTATACGAACATTAGCGTTAGTTTATTTGCAAATAAATACAATACAAATATTACGTGATAATAGTAAAATCCGATATATTATAGAGCTTTAGATACGCAGTATCTATCGAAATTCTAAAACTCACTATATACAATCCTTTAATATCAATTTGAAAAAAAATATGATTGTTGGTTCTACAATACGTGTGAACAACAGAAAGTGAAGAAATATTAACTAAAAAAAGATAAATGAAATAATTCAACAATTTCGTTTATATATCATTTGCTACTTTTTTTGGCTGTGGCCAGCCATATTTTACTGCATGATAAAATTGGATTTCCAAAGCACAGAAGCCTTACAAAATGTGAATATGTAAAACGTGAACTAAGTTTCGATCGCAGTGAACTTCCAATCATTAATACGTGCAATTTCCTTAGCTTTCCAACTATAAAAGCTTAAATTTTACAGAATGTTAGGCAATATATCATCATACAACACATTTATGCTTAGATAATGCTATTCGTGTTACACTACTCCTTTAAGCATCTCATAAATTGGGCCTTCATAACAACGCTTGAACTAGTATAGTACAATCAGGGATTAACGTTGAGATTTAATGATATATTTTTAATGATCTTTGGAGTTGTTTGTAGCTCAAAGATTTGGCGTAAAATCTTACTTTGATATTGCATATAATTTTACTATTTTCGAAAGTTATCTTTGTTCTATGCTGTACTTCATTAAAATCATGAACACAAGAAGTGGCGCAGTAGTGAATGATTATTATATAGCGTCATTAATTTGATGTCCTTTCTCAAAGGTTTTTTTTTCCCGCCCATAAAAATTTACAGAAGGTGTGTCCTTTGGTTTTATGCAGAATATTAATTTTGATGTATTTAGAATAAAGGGCTTTAAAATAATTTTGTATCTATATTTTTCAGATAAATCATATAATGGCTGATGAACGTGGTATACTTCATGGCAAACAGACTGGCCCATCTCATTATGGTGCCATCGATAACCCTCAAGAGGGAGGAACGTCAAATGCAGATGCCGTTGAAATAATTTATGTCAACCCTAAAGGCTTTGAATTTGTCAAATACAAATTGCGTGAAGCTTTTGCCGAATTATTGGGCACTTTTGTCTTTATCACATTTGGCCTTGGTAGCATTGCCCAGGCTAAGCTTGGTGAAGGTTATGGAAATTGGATTACAATCTCATTCGGATTTGGTCTTGGATTAGCTTTAGCTCTTGTTGTTTCCGGAAGTGTATCAGTAAGTTTATAAACATTAAAGAAATATTCTATTAGCTTAAATAATATTCTTTCAAAATTTATTAATTCATCGTAAATTCAGGGTGGTCATTTGAATCCTGCAGTAACAATTACTCTAGCTACCCATCGTAGTTTCTCATGGTCGAAGGTTCCTATCTATATTCTCGCTCAAATCACTGGAGCGTTTTTAGCTGCCGTGGTAGTCTTCTCAAATTATCATGCTGCCATTCTTGAATATGGTGATGGTAAACTTAGTGTCACAGGTATGTGATCCCACTTTATAAAGGGGTTCAATAATAGTTTGAGATTTGGTTTTAGTTTATCCGGCAAGTGTATATAAATACTAATTTGAATATTTACAGGAAGCAATGCCACTGCTGGTATTTTTGCTACTTATCCACAGGAGTTCATGAGTATCGGAGGTGCATTCTTTTCCGAATTCATTGGAACGTTCTTCTTACTCCTAATCATCCTTGCTGCTACCGATGAACGTAATTTACCAAATACTAGAACGCTTTTCCCATTGATTATCGGTTTATCCCTTACCACGATTGCAATCTCTCTCGGATATGAAACTGGTTTTAGCTTAAACGGAGCACGTGACTTTGGTCCAAGACTATTCACTTTCATTGCTGGATATGGTGTCGAAGTTTTTTCTGCATATAACTTCTATTTCTGGATTCCACTTGTTGCTCCCGTTTTGGGAGGTTTGTTTGCTGGGCTCGTTTATGATTTATTGATTTATTGGGGCAAGTCTCCCGTGAATTCTTTGATTGGGGCAAGTCGTGGGGATAATTAGGTGTATTTTTCTGTATTTAAGTGTATATTTTTTTTCAAGTTTATCAAATACCGATATGTGCCAATCAAGGCATAATAAATTTTATAACATCACATTATTGTAAGTAGACATATATTTTATTACACGAAAAAAAGATATAAAAAATAATAAAAAAACGCCCTTTTTAAAGAAATTTCTTTAATTTAAAAATAAAATTTTGAGCAATTTATCGGATATATAACATAGCTTTTGTATTAAACTCAACCTTTATTTGCAAACAGATTACCCGAAATAAAATAAAAAAAAATAAGTGGCCTATTGCGACACTAAGTTCACCCAATAAACATGCCCTAGAAGATAAAATAAACATAGAAGAGATAGAGAAATTACCTAAAACTAGTAATAGAAAAAGAAAATTTAGAAGAAATAGAAAAGAATTTGAAATCAAAATATTATCTAGAAATAAAAACAATACTATCGCTATAGCTTATTACTCGTGGCTTCGCCAGGGGCTACTTCTTAGTGACACCAAACGCAAAGTGTATTTTTTTTATGTATTTGACCTAACGGGATTCATTTCTGATGGCGCATAAGAACTTATCGTTATTGATTTTTTCATTTACATATTATTGTATATCTATTCAGATTGGATTCAGAATCGGGTTGCTCGGCTATTTCTTGTGTTAAAAGTCCGACACGTTCCAGTCTCTAACTCACCTAGTATCGCCTAATGATTTGACCCGGGTGGATGTCACCCAGGTCAGTGGGTGGGTGAACCGGGTTAAGTTATGGCAACCCAGGTGAAAACGGGTGGGTCAACCCGCGGGACCCACGGGTTGACCCATGGGTGACCTGTGAGTTGACCCACGGTTGGCTCATAGTTCTGCAGTATATCATATCCATACTTTGCTTGACACCTGATAAAAATTGGCTGAATGATTTTCCAATAAGTTTGTGATTTCAGCATAATAGATCAATAAATTGATATATCGATGTAAATATAACTTGAATACATCTCCGCTGATCAGTCCGAAATTGCTAAATACTCAAGCACTTTTAACGATATGGGTGTATTGAAAAATTTTTATCACTTTCAGAACAATCACCTGGCTTGTTTTTTAATTAACCTGGTGACCTGTTGGGTGACCCGGGTGGCAACTTTTTTTATAGCTGTTTTCATAAATTCCGGAACAACTGAGAAAATGCCGATGACCGAATCGATAAGTTTCTGAGTTTGGCCGAAGTCGGTTACTTATTGATTCCGACTTGGTAGCTTATCGATTCGGTTATCGGCAATTTTTTCAGCTATTCCAGAATTTATGAAAACAGCTGTAACTGACCCGTTTCCACCTGGGTGGCAAATTGTCCACCCGACGGGTGACCCGGGTGAAGATTTTTTAGACGGGTCAATTCATTAGTATCGCCATCAAAATAGTGTCGCGAAATAACGCCATGGGCGTTATTTAGAAATGGCTCGAATTAAGTTTAATTTGGGCCAAATTTAGATTACGCCCTTGCGCATTATTTCGCAAAATGCGGTACGTACGTACGGAGTTAAATTCACATAACAGATAATAAATAGGGTGAAACCCGCGATGCCGATTGGTACGTGGGTTGAGTGAAAAGTTTTTTATAAGATAATTACCTCAATTATTTTTAAATCTATAGTTTTAAAAATCATACCGTATTACCGCGAAATAACGCGCAGGGGTGAAATTATGAATTCCGGCCTAAATTAAGCTTAATTCGGCCGAACCTCGAGATAACGCTCATTCGCGGTAATACGGTATATATTTATACAATGATATAATTAGTGTTGGCTTGACCAGAACAGTTTGACCATTGGACTAGACCAATTTGACCGGTCTGGTCTAGTGATTGGGCCTGTCTAAAAAAATGCCACCCGGGTAGAACCTACCGTCAAGTGGCCCGGCTAACATTCGAAGCCGTTTCTTGTCAAAATCTCTTAGTTGAGAACAGTCTTTTTCATAAATTTCTAAGCACACCAAAGGTGTTGGGCAATGCATTCTGAATGTATCGACATTAAAATAATAAAATTTACTGCAGAACATGTAATATAAAATATGTGTTGTATATCGGAATGGAATCTTGCTAGATTTAAAATAAAGTTGATTCTAAATACGCTTAAATTGAACCGAACTTACTGAATCCATTTAACGCATATTCAATTTAAAATTAAAGCCGTTGAATTCGCAATACATCTCAAAGCTATTTATTCATATATTCTAGTCACAATTTCCAGCCATACTAATTATTACAGTGCTTACCGTATTTTTGCATAATAACGCTCATGAGCGTTATTTAGAATAATGGCCCGAATTAAGCTTAATTTGGGCCAAATTTTGAAATTACGCCCCTGCGCGTTATTTCGCGAAAATACGGTACATGAAATTATATTGCTTATTCGGCGTACAACATATCTTATATATCGATCGTACCGAAATTAATAACAACCGAATCAGCTAATTTTCTCAGATGCCCCAGAATTTTGATAATAGCTGTAATAATATTTACTTTTGGCCGGATCAGATACTTACAGTACTATAGATTAACTCATAATAACCCATGAGTGACCCACCTGCTTCCACCTGGGTTGCCAAAACTCAACCTGGGTCACCTGTTCACCCATGGGCAGAGACATGGAAAAATTTTGATATTGCTTTGGGTAACATTAAATTTTGTTTTTTATTTTAATATAAAAATTTGATTAAAGTACAGTATAGTTAGACCTCTTTAAGTGTACATTCTTGATACCACACTCAGTGTTTCAGCCTAAACCTCTTCCCAAAGTTCAAAACATTTTACCCAGAAGAATTTTAGTTTTGCCCTATAAGTCCGAAACTCTCCAAAACTAGTTTTGCCCAATTTGATCTGCAAATGATTTGCAAAATTGGGGTTTGCCCAAAACACTGCAGTCTCGGAAATTACCAAATATGGAAATCAATTCACAACATAGTAAAGAATACTCTAGAATCAATTTATATATAAAATAGCTAGTGGCGGGATCATAGGCATGTTAATAATAAACTTTTAAATTAATTCAAATATAAATAGTCTTAATTAGTGATCCACCAGTCAACCAAAAAATGATCATAATAAAATGTAATTCAAATTACTTATAAAAATTGGAGGTCTTCAAATGTGGCGTGCGTGTATCTAAAACTTTTTTTTATACTAAGTTAATCACTTTTCTAACTTAAAAGACTTTTGTAGAGCTTGTCAAAACACATCTAATGGTGGGTAGAGCATCAAAATTAGCTTGGTGGGTGCTAAGATATCTTTAAAAAATATTTTTTTTTACTATGTAAACTTCTTTGAAAACAATACTATTGTTTGCAAAGAAGTTTACATAGTAAAAGAATCGTTTTTTAAAGATATTTCAGCACTCACCAAGCCAATTTTGACGCTTTACCTACTATTAGATATGTCTTGACAAGCTCTACAAAAGTCTTTTAAGTTAGAAAAGTAATTAACTTAGTATAAAAAAAAGTTTTAGATGCATGTATATCACATTTGGAGACCTCCAATTTTTATAAGTAATTTGAATTACATTTTACTATGATCATTCTCTGGTTGACTGGTAGATCACCAATTAAAGATACGTAGTCTAGGGATCTCTTATAATCCCAGGAGCTTTATAAGGTAGTTGTTTACCAAATCAATAAACATACGTGATTGGTGTAAATTTAGCCCCATAAACTTGTATAGAATAGCTATAGACTTAAATAGAAGTACCAAAAATTTTCTAAATGTACAAAAAAGGGTGTGATTTGCATTGTCCAAATTTGGTAATATCCAAGACTGCACTGTTTACACTTTAATAACAACATGTATATAAAGAATAATAAGAATAAGGTGTATTTATAGAGGTCAAATATCTATTTGGGCTAGCTTTTGAATATGTATTTAGAGAGAGTATGCATTTATAAAGAGTGTATTTAAAAAGGTCTAACTATATATTTAGCAATATATAGATTAAATGAAAAGTTTTGTTATAAAGTAATTATCTCAATTATTTTTAAATTTATAGTTTTGAAAATTATATATATTTTTATAATGGTTATAATCTATTTATAAAAAAAATTTAAATTAATTTTAATCAAATAGTTTTTAAAAAATTAATTTTTTAAATTTGATTTTAAAATAAATGAAGATTTTTTCTAAATAAAAATTATAAAATTTTACATATTGGCAGATTTATAAAATTGTATCTTCAAAGTTATTCGCAAAATGTAACCAAAATTTTGTAGCAAACAAATATATGTACATATAGTTTAAGGGGTAAAACAGATACAATAATACTGTTATTGTATCTATTTACCCCTTAAATTATCTTTATATGTACATATATTTGTTTGCAAAATTTTGGTTTCATTTTGCAAATAACTTTGAAGATACAATTTAGAATCAATTCAGAACCAATTCCGCAAATCTGCTGATATGATTAAAAATATTATAAAAAGTTAAAAACTTAATCAATTTGTTAAATATTAAATATAATTTTTTTTTTTTTTTTAATATTAAGGTGACCACTTAGGCCCTTGGCACTTTATTAGTACAAGCGGTAGGCCAATGTT